GAAATGGAGCTAAACTTAAACTCAAATCACAGTTTAATAAAACTGGAAGGAGCCAGTAATTGGAACATCTGGAAATTTCAAACTACAGTATTGTTGCGTGGCCAAAACTGGTTGGATGTGGTTGAAGGAAAAAGTTTAAAACCCGAAGAAAGTTCTGCACGAGCCGCTTGGGAATTGAAAGATGCAAAGGCACAAACGATGTTGGTTACGAGAATGACTGAGAATGTCATGTTACATATTATTTCATGTTCAACGTCGGCTGAAATGTGGAAGAAATTGCAAAGTATTTATGAACAGAAAACGGAAACAAATATCCATATAATCCAACAACGTTTCTTCCAATTTAAGTATGAAACGGGCACAGAAATGTCTACATTCCTATCTAAAATTCAGGAGATGCAAAATCAGCTCAAACAGATGGGTGAAGAAGTATCGGACAAGTTTGTAATCACAAAAATATTAATGTCTTTGCCAGAGGAATATAAATTTTTCATTTCGGCTTGGGAGTCTGCGCCAGATGATAAACAAACTATAGATAACTTAATGGCAAGATTACTGATTGAAGAGGAAAGAGTGAAAGAAAAGGGTGAGAATTGTCAACCAACTCCGAGTTCATCTGCATTTGTTGTGAAAAACAAGAAGGAAATAAAGTGCTTCAATTGTATAAAATGGGACATATCCGTAGTGAGTGTAAAAGTAAGAACTATAGTAATTCTGAAGGTCAAAGCAATAAGTGTTTTTATTGTGGAAAGTTTGGACATAGTAAGGCAAAGTGTTGGTTTAGGAAGAACAAGGAACATAAGAAAAGTAATGCTTTTGTGGTGTTAAATTCATCAGAACAACGAGAAAAATCTCTGTGGTTAGTGGACTCTGGAGCCAGTGAACACATGTGTAATGATCGTTCTTTGTTTTCATCATTTACAAAAACAACGAACGAGTCCGTAATTGTCGGTAATGGTGCCACGATTAGTGTTCTTGGCTACGGACAGATGGCGGTGGAAGTCTTCGACGGCAAAGAGTGGATTGAAACGTCCATAGACAAGGTTTTGTTTGTACCAGAGCTAAAGACGAATCTATTCTCTGTGAACAAAGCGTCAGACAGAGGATACGTCATAATGACAGATGACACTTCATGTCAATTCTTTAAAAACAACAATGTTTGCGCGGTTGCAAAACGTGTTGGAAGTTCGTATTTTTTGGAGTTTCGGTACAAAAACATAGTGGCTAGTGTAGCTAAAACAGTAAACAATACATTGCAAATGTGGCATGAAAGATTAGCACATCAGAACTTTGATTATGTAAAAAGGGTGCTCTCGAAAAACAATATTGATGTGGATCAAACTTCAACTCCAAAATGTGAAAGTTGTTTGGAAGGAAAGATCCATCGAGCATCGTTCAATAACAGTGAAAGTATTAGCACTAAAACGTGCGAGTTAATCCATGCGGATACCTGTGGCCCCATGGAGGTAACGTCGGTTGGTGGCTCGCGTTACTTCGTGCTACTGAAAGATGACTTCTCAAACTATAGGTCAATTTATTTCGTCAAAAATAAATACGAGATAAAGAATGTTATTGAAGATTTCTTATGCAAAGCAGAAAACTTGACTGGAAATAAAATCAAAGTTTTTAGATCGGATAATGGTCTGGAATTTATAAATAAGGAAGTCAAGGAAATACTGTCGAAACGTGGGATCGTACATCAGACTAGTGTCCCTTACACTCCCGAACAAAATGGGAAAGCCGAAAGGGAAAATCGGACACTTGTAGAAGCTGCTAGAACAATGTTGAGTGCATGTAAGACATTGCCAAAGACCTTGTGGGCTGAAGCCATAAATACTGCAGCATATGTCCTAAATAGAACAGGAAAAAGTAAAGATGGTCAAAAAACACCATATGAGGCATGGTGTGGAAGAGAGTTTGACATACAACAGTTGAAACCATTTGGTACCCCAGTATATTCTCATATACCAAAAGAAAAACGAAGGAAATGGGATAGTAAGGGAGAAAAGGGAGTTATGGTTGGATACGGCGAGACAGTCAAAGGATATAGAATATTTTACTCTAACAGGAACAAAGTGGAAATAAAAAGAGATGTAGTTTTCTTGGAAAAGGAGCAATGTTATGGGAATGAACATGAGGTAAAGATTAACTACAAAGATAATAATGAAGAAGATAACAGAAAATCAAGTGAATCTCATAATAAATCAACAACAGAATTGTCTAAACTCAATGAAACAGTGACTTCAGCTGAAAGTGATAAGTCAGGAAGTGAATATGTACCGTCCTGTGATGAGGATGATACAGAAATACCTGTAAGGCAATATTCCAAACGTGTGAGGAAACCAACTGTGTTTTATAACTGCCAGAATGTGCGTTCTGAGGAAAGTGAACCTACCACCTATAAAGAGGCTATGGCAAGAAATGACGCCAGCAAATGGAATGAAGCTATCAACAGAGAGATGCAAACATTGCGAGAAAATAACACTTGGGAAGACTGCGACATACCAAAGGGTGTAAAAGTTGTAAGTAGTAAATGGGTATTTAAAATTAAAAGAAATAATAATTGTAACATTCCACAGTACAAAGCTAGGTTAGTAGCTAGAGGTTTCGAACAGGAAGATAACTTAGACTTAAATGACATTTATGCCCCAGTTGCAAAATTATCAACTCTCAGACTTTTTGTAACAATTGCAACTAAACTTAATCTAACTATTTTTCAAATGGATGTAACTGGAGCATTCTTGTATGGGGAACTAAAAGAAAATGTTTATATTAGCTTACCTGAAGGAGCTTACTTAGGTGATAATAGAGTAGTAAAGTTAAATAAATCATTGTACGGGCTCAAAGTTTCTCCAAAATGTTGGAATGTAAAATTTAGTTCTGTTATGTTTAAAGAAGGTTTTGTTAAATCTGATTGTGATTCTTGCTTGTATGTAAAGCGCAATGATAATGACCAGACTTATGTGTTACTGTATGTTGATGATCCTTGGTGTTTGGAACAAGTAATATTGTAATAGAGCAATTGAAAAGTGTTTTATGTACAGAATTTAAAATGAAGGACTTAGGTGTAGTAACAGATTTTTTGGGTATAAATATAAAACAAAATGTTGAGAAGGGTGTTACTGAACTGAGCCAGAGAACATATTTGGAAAATGTACTGAAAAAGTTTCAAATGGAAAATTGTAAACCTATTTCTACACCATTAGATCAAAATTTTAATGGAAAAATATTTGAAAATAATAATAGTAATGTTGATAAAAGTACTGAAAAGTTATGTCGAAAAATTATAGGGAGTCTTATGTATGCAGTATCTGGTACTCGACCAGATCTCTGTTTCACTGTTTCTTTATTAAGTAGATACCAAAAATATGCAAATAGTATGTTGTTAGCAGCATTAAAAAGGGTGTTGCGTTATATTAAGTATACTTTAGATTATAAGTTAGTGTACAAATGTGAAGGTGATATCTTGGAGGGATATTGTGATGCTGACTGGGCAGGGGACCTCACGGATAGAAAGTCAACATCTGGATATCTATTTAAATTTTCTAATTGCCTAATTTCATGGTGCTCTAAGAAACAGGTGTCAATAAGCCTGTCATCAACAGAAGCTGAATATGTTGCTATAAGTGTTGCCGCTAGTGAGGCTTGTTGGGTAATTAATTTGTTGAAAGATTTTGGGATTAATAGTGTGTGCCCAGTGGGCATTCATTGTGATAATCGGTCTGCAATTTCTGTTGCTTGCACATGTACTGTTAAGCGTCTAAAGCATATCGATGTAAGGTATCATTTTGTAAGAGAACTTATTAAGAATGGCACATTGTGTTTGAAATATGTTAAAACTAGTGAACAGCCTGCAGATATGCTTACCAAAGGCTTGAACAGGGAGTTGCTAACTCGTTGCTTGGAGAAATGCAGTGTGGGTTCTTATTAAGTTAATATTTGTCATTTAATTACATTGAGAAGGGGTATTAATATATGGCAATGTAATTAAATATAGTATTTTATAATAAGAAAAATATGGCAACCCTGCTTATGTCGCTCCTCCTTTATGGTTGTAGGACGCTTGTTAGAAGGTTTTTGTTTTTGAGTTCCATTTTGATTATTAAAACACATTTTCAGTATATAAAACTGTGTTCTTTATTAAAATCTAACATAGCCAAAACTAGCATTAGATTTTGTGTAACTTGATAACTACCCTTTCTTTTACAAGAATTGCTGAATCGGTTAAGTTAATTGAATTTTCCGGTTACCGAAAATTCCTCGTCATGTTTTAATATAACATTAGAATATTATGAGGATCTTTATATTCACAACAGAACTTAAACTCAGCCGTGACTCAATTTAATAGCAAAACAAATTATTACAATAATTTCAATTCCCAGAACCTAGAAATACAAGGAATAGGAAGGCAAATGATCGTACACGCAGGTCAAGGTACTCAATTCTGTCAATGTTTTTACCGAATTTCCGACTTTATTTCCAAACTTTAAAGTTGAAATTCTAATAAAGGAATTTAACAAAATGAGTAGATAGACGTGCTAATGTCTGCACATAGTTTAGACTTAACACCCTTGAACGTGGCCGTCCTGTACTTTGATCCGCACAAGTTATTGCGTAATGTGCGCATGCGCATGAGTTTAAAGTTTAAACAAAGCGATCGTGGTGATGTCATTGAACTAAGAAGGCCTATAAGGTCATTGAAGGGCAACATTTTTGAATAAATTATTAGTAATTATGATAATTCATTCCAACCAATATTTTAATAAGAGATTACAAACAACCATCTTTTACGTTATTGATTAAATAAGATTATGTTTGGTTTTTTTAAGATCTTACGAATTACAAACGCAGTAAACTTTATTTATTAGAGAATCATTAAAAATGATCCTACATTTTACGTTATATGTAAAATTGCGGAAATTATGAAACCAAAATGAGGTAAACCAAAAACAAAACTTGGACCATACACCAAAAATATTAAAACAAAATCTACTACATACCCGCTCATACCGCATGAGGTAGTCAATGATGGCATCCTTCTTCTTCTCCTTCTCCTCAGGGTGGCAGATGCCGATGTTCAGCCCCATCACGATGGTCCTTAGCAGACCACCCTCGAACGCGTCCCATAGGAACTTCGGCGTGTAGCACATTATTGCCTGAAAAAACAATTCTAGATCATTCCTGGGTTCCATAATTCAAAATTACCTAAAATGGAGACTATTATTAACATTAATATCGACTTCAAAAATAAGGTTGTCCTTTTTTTATTACTTATTTTTATTTCAGTGAACATCCATTAATACCATCAACAATCTAAAAACTGAAAATATTTTGATGTATCATTTGATAGTTCTATTCTTAAGGAAGGTCAAAAAGATAAGGTCATACTGGAGAAAGAATTACCTACTTATCGTACATAAATATTAGACAAGATGATTCATTCATTATCACATTTATCACTCATAATAAATAGCTACGGTACAAAAGTGCAACACCCTATAAATAAGTCGGTCACGATTCGTTTAGACACGTCTGTAGTAACATACTTTCAGTATTTGACGTTTCAATTGACATGAAACGTCATAATCAATACTAATATTGTAAATGTAGAATTAATTGATGTATGTAAGTTATTCTATCATGCTAAGATTGCTCAACTGATCTGGATACTATTTGGCACAGAGATAAATTTTACGAATACTTTCTTATTGTTCTTAATGTCATGAGAAAATGCGGCGGTTTTAACAGGGTGTTAAATATAGTTACGTACAATATCGTAGGCACAGATAGTGTTTAATATTCACATAACATAACAATCATGCCATTTTATTCCTCAGAAACCGGGCGACCATATACAACATAGTATATGTAACAACAACTTTTCGCAAATTACATTTCAGTATATTCAGTACCAATATTTAAGACAAGTATTTTCAAATTGGATGCAGGTTGCTTCCAAATGGCTTATCGGGAAGTCGTTGGGGGAGGCCTGTGTTCGGGAATGGACGTCCTGTGGCTAATATGATGATGATATTCAGTACAATACACTGGGCAGTAATGTAAAATCTATGCTGTTAAAAAATTTTCGGCGACCAAACAATGTCAATAGAACTCTGACCGAGGTAGAAAATAGTCTACAACGTCTTATTCATCGGCTGGGTTAGCCACCTCGTAGAACACGAGGCAGGATTTCATACTTGGACTACCTTCCTATAAAATGTCAGTTCCCACGCACGTTAGTGCAGTGATCTCGCAATGATTGTCATGATGCGTCACGGTGTGTAGGTGCGAAGAATCGGACGATTCGTGATTTTACAACATTATTATCATTTATCATCGTTATGAAATATGGACCACCATGGATGAGGTGCATAGAATTATAAAATGAAATACACAAATATTGGTCTCTTTTATAATTTAGTAAAATTTTGGCACAAACAAAGTCGCCGCTTAGCTTCGTAGACAGGTGCTTATTACGGCATTTGATGCCACTTTACAATGTAACACCCACTTTTCACTATTTATGTTTTGAGTCCCATGTAATAGGGGGTGAGCCTATTGTCATATACCGGGCACAATTCCAGACTGCGTGCTACTACTGAGTATTTTGAGGTATATGTATTTTGTTTCTAAGCCTACAAATGCTGATGAAGGCAGCCTATTGTTTGTGAAGGATAAATGCGTTTCCTTCATTGGTTGGATGCATTCGTCAAATGACGCAACGTTATCCTAACTCGAACATTTTTGAGCTTTTGCTTGTGATTCATTGCATCCCACACGTGTATTAGATAAAATCGACCAGATCAGTCATTTATTCTACTATAGTCATAACATATGAATAAGAGGCACTTTATTATCATTCCACAGTGCACAATGGCTATCAGACAGCATACAGCGCACAGTGCGCATGCGCATCTGTAAACGGCATTCGATTGTCACACCTGCCGAGAACAGTTATACTCGATAGTTCTCAGAATAATACTACGCACATCAACCCAATTCTATAACTTAAAATTCTTTAATAGATTTGCTACTTTATTGTTCAATTATAAGGTTGAATTTAGCTGTCGTCTATAAAAAGGCCAGTATCAAATTGAGGAATCGACAGTATCTTTGTCTGTATTTGACATAATTATAGCTCCTTAATTTACAGAAACATTGAGTTTACCTCGCTGCAGGAAATATTTCCTATTAGCCAACAGAAGATTCCGGATCTAACAATTTCCCTATAGAAGACAATATTCAATACCTTTTAATGAACGAAGTACATTGTCATCAGTCATCACCTTCACAATCTATTAATTGCCTTGCACTACAATTACATCATCTCATAAACGATAAGTACTATTTTTCCTTTATAATGGAGCGAGGATAGCCAAGTGTCACCAAGTCAGGACAGTGGTCTTCCATGGTACCGTTATGAGACAAACAGTTCGAGGACATTCCATTGAATCGTGATTAAGCTATTAGTAACTTTATGGACAGTCTACCCATATTTGGGTGACTTGATACAAACTCAGCCAGTAGGTCAACCGGTCATAGGCCTTACTCTGGTTTGGTTGCTAATCAAACTTGATTTTAACATGCTAATAAAGTGATAAACAGGTTTGCGTAAAATTTCTTCCGTAAAAGTCGATTTTTGCAACGCTGCGCATGCGCATCTCTCTTGAATAAACGTAAAAAAGTTAGTTTTATTACTAAGAAAACCGTTATTCAAGTGTGACTTGTCACCTTGGATAAAAAAACATAGTAGCTAACAGTTCAAGAGAAAGTTAGTCATAAAATAAATATAAAACAAGCCATTACTATTTTTATTGTGTGAATCACAAGGATTAAATGACTAATGCAAGAGCATTATGCGTTCGATTAAAAGAAAATATACAAGAGACCGACAATTAGCGATTAAGTGGCAAATGAATTATTTATTAATAAGTAATTAAAACAGTTTTTATGACCGAGACAATGAATGAGACCTTTTCGTGATAAGGACTTGTGGGTTTCCAATAATTAAGCTAGAAGTACATGGAAATCTTATTTATTTAACAACTTTGGAAGACTAACAGCTAGCAAAACATAAATATATAAGCATAATATATAGCATAAGAAATTGTGTGAGAGTCTGACAATCAATGACAAGTCTTCACTTATAAAAAACAAACTTATACTATAAAAGAATGTGGTCGACACTACACTGACAAATTACCTCGCATAATATCAGTTCAATCGCGTTATGTTACTTAATAAAAAAGGAAAGGTTCAGGCGTCTTCTGACCGTAGACACTTTATTAGTATTAAACTGTCAAACACCAAGCGGTCACCGGTGACCGCGACCTATTGTTCTTTAATTGTGTCTATAAAACCGGTACTCGACGAGTTAAAAAGGTCAAAATTATGTATCCTACTGATTTATTTGGTCAGTATCTTATGGATTAGGATATCCTTTTATTGGAGAAGTGAGAAGAACAAGATATGATTCACCAGATGTTAGAGGTCTGTTCTTCCCTGTGACCTCAACCCTAAATAGGAACAACTTTTCTTATGAGTCATGCCTCGTGAGTCCAATGTGGCCATATGTCATTTCAGGTGGACTCACCTAGTCCAAAATTAATTCGTGACACACCCAAAAGTATTTCATAAGATTTTTTATCGCGTTTAAAAACCGATGATAGTTAGCTTTCGAATATTTATAAATGGACCTGCATCTGCACCTCAATTATTAATAAATAATTGTATGAATATTATACTATTATTGTACCTCTATAATGTAATGGCATCATTATTACTCGCATCAATGATCACTCTAACTTCCTACAATCTGCTCATCATATCTTCGAATTGATTACAAAATATTTCATCAGCTTTCAGACTACTATGCTGACCAAATAAATAAGTACTTATTTACATACGAATAAGGATTAAAATGAAATCACATGACGAAACACAAAATCAATTTTGCTACTCATAAAATATCTGTTAATTCACGGCAAGATTGCCTACCCATAACAATATAATGACGTCATCGCAACAAACTAAATGTTTACAAACACGTCAAAGTGCGAACTAATGATTAGGTACTTAGTTAAGACATACCTATTCAAGTTAAAGACTTCCTTTACCTATTTAATTATTTGATTGTCATCTTGAACCTGACATCAACTTGGATTAATGGATGCTACCAAACTAATTACACTTTATATAAGCATCTTTGCTAACTGATCATATGGTCAATTTTAAATTGAAAACCAGATAATACTTCCCGACGATCAAACTTAAATACAATAAGATTCTGAGTTTGTGAGCTTGAGCCCTAACTTTTTTTACCTTGTATGCATGCAGTAGATACTACCAACCTACAGTTACTACTAGTTTAAAGAAAAATGTATAATAATCCTAATAATGACTTTATTACTTTAGTATGCAATTTATAATAACATCTAAGAAATAAGTGTCGTGTACAAGTTAATATCTTAATCTTGAACAATGAGACAGTACGTTAATTACTGTTGTTTGTATATTTGTAACCATTGACCTTACGACCTCGGTTACATTACCATTACCACCATTACGCAATCCTAGACATGTCTGTCGTTAATGTGTTTTATCTTAAGAACTTAGAGTAATATGTTTTTTATTTGAAAAATTATGGATATGTATTGTGTTAGTTGTTGGACTTTGTACAAGAGGCCTGTGAAATTAAAGTATAGAATCTTTTTAACCTTTCATGTGTCTAAGAACGGATCCAAGCGAGACATAATATATTTTCTTTTGTGCCTTATATCGGTGCATTTAAGCGGTTAATAGGAAGCACGGCAGTGTCCTAAGCCAAGAGTATAAGACGTATTTATCGTGATTCAAAAATTATTTGATCACAAATATATGTCAATGCCCAAGGTATTAAGTCCACCAGTACATAATTATGTTTTTGTACTAAGTCTAAATAAATATATATTTATTTTTTATTTTGTATCAACTGTTGAAATAAGATCATTGTAAATCAACTGTATTAATAGCATTTTTGTAATTAGTTTCTATTAATTGTAACATTTTTACTTTATTATATTGTAAAATTTAACTTTGTATGCCGAAAATAGTAGGCGTAGTATGTGGGACAATTTTTGTATAATTATTATTACCTGTAATTACCATACTTCATGCAAATAAACGTTCTTATTCTTATAACTAGGCGTTTAACTAAAGCACCAAGTTTAAGCTCTGAATACAAATGATTACCATGAAAACATATTTAAATACAAACTCACCTGGAAGAATAGCACAAAGCACACCCATTGGTAGTACGTGTAGTACTTCTTCTCTTGTGTGCTGTCGTACTCATTCGCTACACCAGGGTGCGCCACCTCCTTGCCCACCTGCAACCAATGATAACCATAAGAAAGTGAAAATTATGAACGCTCAAATCTTCATCACTAACCATCGGGTTAGTGATGCCTGACAACCTTAAGGAGGTTAAAACACAAAACGGCGGTTGGATTCGGAAGAGGTTTAAATCTTGATGCGCCACAGAAGTTCATAGATACGTTTGGAAGTCGGATTTTGTCTGTGATTGATTACACGTGTATGACTCCGGTTAGACCAATCCGAGTCCTCCATTTTTGAGCTTGCAATTTGATGTAAACAAATGAAACGGAAAATTATAAACATTATGTGCTATCTAACCAAAGCTTCCTGATTCAAATACATAAATGTTATGGGGATTTATTCATAGAAATGATTTCAAATTTTGGTATACATCGAACTAACTTAAACACTCAAACTTATTGCTAGGTAATAAATAATGTAAGAAATGATAATAACAAACGATTTAGATAAATCTAAATTTCAAACTGAATACTGAAACAGGCCATTAAATTTAAAATTTTATGGATCTCGAAATTGGTCACATGAAAATCAAACATTCGATTCGTGTGATTTGAATCAATAAATAAATTCTATTGTAACAGAAATAAATTTCAATTTATAGTTGTTTGTGACTTCTGGGGGTAGGCACTCTGAATAATGATTACCAGATTTTCCATGAAAGGCCAATATTTCTTTAACATCTATATCATTATACTTTACTCAATCTCACAAAAATGTACCAACATGTGAATAAATTTAAATGTAGCGTGGCAATAGTAAAGTCCTCGAATTAAATCATGAAATCAGACTGAAATAGGCATCAATGATAAACACGTTCATACATTATTTAAAGTTTCAGTATATTCCACCTGAATAGTATGAATTTCAATATATTTATTAGAATTTCAATTCAGATTGGATCTACATTTCGAAAATATCGCATTACCTGAAGTGTAAGTATAAACTATTCGAACGCATAGGAGAGATAGGATTTTAAAGACACAAAAATAGTAAACACGTTTCAGCTATCAAGGCCTAAATCAATGATGGTCACCGCATTTTAATAGGGTAAGAATCCCATAACAGTTCTTTTGGTCAAAAAGCTAGGCGCCATTTGGAGGCTATCCCTTATCAACAAAAAAAGTATCAATACAGTTTTTTAATGTGACAAGCCCATCACAACCACCCAAAACCGCTCATGTAAGTTATCTGGAGTCTACAGATGCATCATACAGCCGGTTATTTCATATAACCAAAATAATAACAACGATGTCTGAATACGCACAATAGCAATTGATCAGTGTGTCGTAGTCAGTAACAATGAGCAGGAGACAAGTGGACGCTGACCTTAACCAACACACCCATGTATCTGGCACGAATTGACGTTACGATTGTGTGCGGTTCGCGAATCTCTGCTGACCTTTAGGGATGCCCTGATCTGTAAGGGATATTTTATTTTGAATAGAATAGAATAGAATAGAATGTCATTTATTTCCAAGTATATGGTACATTGAGGTTTTACATTAAATATTGTTTCACATACACTACCATTGCTGGTGTAGAAATATTATGTTAATCATGCTTTATAAAATAAATTTATAAAAAACTAGTAATTACAATAATGCCAAGTAAATTGATTGAATCACACATCTAAGATTTTGCTCGGTACATGACAGTAAATAGAAGTATCAGTGTTATTTCCATCAAAGTGTTAAAATATTTCTTATAATGTTTAAATGCTAAATACAATGTCAATATGTCAAAACGTATATTGTCAAAATACTAAACTAAAATACTAAATACAATGTCAGTCAATGTAAAAAAAAAATAAATAAATAAATAAATTAAATTCAATGTCAAAATACTAAATACAATATCATAACATTAGATATTATAATGTCGAAATATTAAATAATGTCAAAACTTGTGATTTAAAAATTCATTAACAGAATAGAAGCACATCTCGAGAAGCCAAGTGAACATTCGATATTTAAATTTACTTATTGGTAACATTTTCAGGTCAGGTGATAATTTATTATAAATTTTAATTGCCATACAATGTACATTATTACTGTATAAATGCAATCTTTGTCTAGGTGCCAGTAGTTTTCCAGGATTTTTATTATTTAATCTGACAGAGACCTGTTCGTTTAATGGAAATAAGTTTGTATGGTATCCCATACATAAAAGCCGGTAAACGAGCTGATGGATCACCCGATGGTAAGCAATCGGCGCCGCCCATGGACACCTCAAACACCAGAGGCGTTACAAGTCAATTACCGGCCTTTTGGGAATAGACTGGAGAAGGGGGATTATTGGGCTTACGGTAACCTCACTAACACGACGAAACATAACACAAACGTTGTTTCACGTCGGTTTTCTGTGAGGCCGTGGTATCACTCCAGTCGAGCCAACCCATTCGTGAGAAAGCATGGCTATCTCACAGTAAAAAAATAACCTACTTAAATTCATATATTCTGTCAGTTTTTATTTTGAATATTAGTTCGTTAGTTACTATTATTTATTACTACTATATGGTAGCTACAGATACAGAAAAAAAAACTATAATTCGGTTATAGTTAACTTACTAAAACATAAAAAACAGTCGCAGATAGATGCTTAATTTTAACAACACGTGAACGTTTTAGAACGCATCAAAATCCAATTAAATGTCGATTCTAATTAGAAATCTGGATCAAAAACATTAGTGGTGATGTTTACACTGTGGTGGAGTGTTTAAAAACAAAATATTATCAGTTTTATATTCTACTTAAAGCAAGAATGTGGAGGTATACACAATATCTTAGATGATTTTTATTGTGTAACTAATTTATTATTGTCCTATTTATATAATTACTAATCCGTGTTTCCGTGGAATAAAAAGCCTCTGTGTTATGCCAAACCAGAATCTATCTCTGTTCCAAATTTCACCCCGATGCCTTCAACCGTTTTGACGTAAGGAGGTTAATAAACAAACAAACATTCCCATTTATAATATTAGTAGTATTTATGGCTTGAATTCATAATGAAGGTTTCAGTTATAGTTAGTAGGTATAAATAACTGTCCTCATTTTAAAACTATCAATTAATAATAAAACTGTTAATTACAAAAAATAATGACATGCCTGACAGCTAGTTACTACGATAATTTCGTAACTAGAGTTGATCGCAGTAACTAAAACTAACTAGTTAATGAAAAACCTAATCTTTAGGCAAATTTGATGTTGGTAGTAATTCCAGATTCAGTTCCCGTGTACCAAACATCACTAAAAACAATTCTGCTGTTTCACCAGCCCTAAGTTACGCGTGCCCAATCAGCTCAACGCAAGAGAGGAAGCGCGCAGTTGCGAGAATCTGCGCGCGCGCAATTGACAGCACCTACCCGACTAATACTGTAATGGACGGTGATTTGCGCTCTAATGGAGATGTAGTAGCAGATACTATTATAGTATTGAGCACACGTTATAAATAAAACCACTGCATCAAGTAATTTAACATGGTGTACGGGTAAACACAGTATCAAAACAATTTTCTAATCACTATGTATTAGGACATTTGTTTAAACAACCGGGAGATACAGCAAAATTCTACCTTTAAGTTCATTGAAAAGAATATAAAATCAATTACCATTTACAAGTAAATGTATTTACTTGACCCCCTTAAAGTTGACTAAATTATTTACATGGCATTTTAATAAGTAATATAAGTTATTACTTCATGATATACGACTGATTGTTTTCATGTATGTTTACGCAAATTTCCAAGTACTACACCTACTGCAGTAGATATTATTATGATAGCTTTATTTGACATAAACAATAACTTTAACTATATTCAACGATACAGAGATAGACCTACTTAAAAGACCACCTCGCAGATATAATTTCATCAACAGTATTTTTGGTTTGGAAAAAGTTATTGTTACCAAATTAAATGCACACAACATATAAAAATACATCTGTAAACACATATATCATCAGATCAACAACAATGGATTCTTTGGAAAGGAGATAAAGCCAGCCATGCTCCGTCCGTATGGAAGCGACAAAGAAATCGGAAGCGACACCTGATTCGCGGAGGTGCTGGCAGACGGCCAATATTGTGTGACAAATGTTATCATTGTAATTAATTCGGTGTAGACGTGCACTGACACCTACATGGGAGGCCGATGTTCTCGTATTATGACATGATGTAACTTATGGTTGATTTAAAACTTCCTATTCAGAAGCACGTAAGTTTTGGTATTTCGCTCGAACTGCCAGGACCAGGACTTTTAGAAATTTCTTACTGTTTTTAACAATATTTTTAATATTCTTCCGTAAACGCCTATTACACATGAAACTTCAACCATTTTTTTCACTTTGAGATCATGCTACTTAGGTATTTCAAAAGCAAAATAAATAAATTTTTACTCCAACGAAAGATGTACTGAACAAATCACCAAAAATATAAAACACATTATAATCCAGAGTTATGTCTAGATATAATATACATACATAATATTGAACAAGCATATTGAAATATTCGGTTACTAGGATATTCGGCTAGTGAGGGGAGTGCTACTCCTTGGATAACTCCTTCAAACGGTAGGAAAGAGTACCAATTAAGTGGAGAGCCCTCAAACTCAAGTGGAAGACTATAAGTCTGAGTTGTTAGGAGCTTAATGCGGCACGTTGCAATACCCTATTGAAGGATGACAGAAGGGAAACGAAGTTGCTAGTTTAATGTATTTGAACAAACTTCACAAAGGGCTTTTCTCTAAGTAACTAGAGCAGAGCATTGAAGACAATGGCGCTTAAAGTTTTTTCACCTTAATTCAAGGCTGCTCTTTCATTTAAGACCAATAGCGTTTCCAGGACAAGAAAATCTAATAAAATGTGACAACTCACCTCTCTGGCGAAAGCATCAGGCATGGTAAACGTGGACGTGATCCAGCAGAATGTATTGACGACATTTGTAGGCAGGCCACTGACGATACACTGTATGGGCTGCCCGACATACTGGGTCGCGGTTATGATCATGGAACATGTGAGTAAGAGCACTGTCGTGAACACATTGTGCAGCCTGAACACTGCATTATCAGTCCTAATTGGCTGGTACTTGAAGTAAACACTTAACCCTCCTAATAACTTAAACATTTTGCCTTATCCCGGCTTCTTGTTATCTATACATCGAAAGTTATGTGTGACACTACTCAAAATCAGTCTTGTTTTTGTTTATTGCCGCGGCAATGTATCGCGTTTATTGTCCAGTGTGCTTCGTATCTGAAACAAGAAAAAAAAGAGTTTATTAGACGATAAAAACTTGGTCAGGTATAAAGACAATTTAACTGTTTATAAATACGTCTTATGAATCTTAATAAATTACGAGTTTTTCTACATTTTTCTTCTTAAACTGTCAAATACCAAGCGGTCACCGGTGACCGCGACCTATTGTTCTTTCATTGTGTCTATAAAACCGGTACTCGACGAGTTAAAGAGAATAATTTAATTCTTACTTCATTCTTGTTTATGTTGGTTCAGTCAGGATTAGAAGCTCATTAGCTACTACGTATTTAGAGGAAAAGAGCAATCATTTATAGCCATGGATGGTTAGCCATTTAATTAGTGGTACATTGTCATTAACTATTTAAAGTACATATTTATTCATATAATACCTAATACTAAGTGCTAATGATTCATGGTATTGTATAAGAATTCTGGTTAGAACAACATAATATTATTGTGGTAAACAAATCCAATGATGTAACTTATGGCTTTTCCTTTTGATAACTAAACGGGACTAATGACATACCTACTCCATGGAAGAAACATATTATGCAATTTGTGAAAAATAATTTATTCCTCTTAGAAAACGCTACATCGCGATCGGCAACCGTACAATCAAAGCTAATAATATTGTGGATTTTTAACCGCTTGAATATCCGTATATGAGACACGATAAAAAATTTATTGTGTCTCGCGTGAATCCACGTTTAGACACACGACGGGTTAAACTGCCACACTAACATTAGAACCTTATTATATTAATTAACATTTAATTTACTAGAATTTCTGATATTTCAGTGTACTGAGTGTTACTGAAGTGTCATGATCTTTAACAAACATAGGTACTTCATCAAAGTTTTAAGTTGGATTAATAGTGATAGTGTACACATATTAATGAATGTAACCTATCTTCAAAACCTACTAAGGGCTCTGCACGACGAAGAAGATAAAATCTTTGATCGAAAAGTCCAGTATTACCCTAACAACAGTACATAGCAATCAATAAGTTACTTAAACACGGCAAAGAAGCACGTTTTGTCAGTTAGTGACATCGCGTGACGGTGTGCAATGTAAGTAGCATAGTAATAACACAGGATACGAGCACGTAGCATTGATAATGTACAGGTAGAGTAACTAGTGAGCACGACATGATGCCACATGTGATGGTCCGATGTAGGTGAGTGCACACATGAGGGTTATAATTTGGTCAGTTGGTACTTCATTCATAACATACTCGTACTTTTTTTAAGGGTAAAAATCATCGAATGCCTTCTCCCGCCTGGGTGAGGCGGTAGGGAGTGTCAGCGGGGCCCCGGTAACCCGTTAGGTTCTCCGCGACAACATACTCGTACTAAAGTGTGCTAAGGATTTGGAACTAAAAACGGTCCACCTCTTTTTTTTAAAGGGGGAAAATCATCCGTTGACTGCTTCCGCCTAGATGAGGCGGGAGGGAGTGTCAGACTCCTACTGACTAAAAACCACCCCGATCCTTCTCCTTCACTTCGAGCCGGACCCCGGTAACCCGTTAGGTTCTCCGCGACAACATACTCGTATTAAAGTGTACTAAGATTTTGAACTAAAAGCGGTCCACCTCTAGGCATCTTGCAACTTCCAATATTCTCCGTAGGACCAGTCAATTTCAAAGTGTCTTCTACATTTTACAAAGGACTCTACTATCACAGCTCAAGTGATTTTGTTTTCGTATTTCAGTCAATAATGCTGTAATTAAGCTTCTACATACGATGTTTACAAAACTGCTAATCAAAGTGTATGCGATTGATCCCATACATTTGGATTAACTTTACAAATGAACACAAATATCGTCAGCCACTTGTAGACCCCTTGGAGCCAGTTAGTCTTGCGAGGGGGACGACTAAAGAGTGGTGAATTTTCTGTCGATCCTTTAATAAAGGCCGCTGCTCAGTCAGTTCGTCAGAAATATTTTTATTGCCTACAAATCTACATAGATTCGTATTTTTTGGGGAGGGGGAGGAATCATCAAAGGACTTCTGTCGCATTGGGTAAATCGAGAGAGAATCAGACTCTTACTGACTAAAAACCACACCGATCCTACTCTTGTTTTGAGCGACATACGATAGGTACCTTTGCTCTTTATCTTTTCACGTAAGATACATCTGATTATAATAACTATTTTTTATAATAATATTTGCAAGCAAATTATTAGGTAGGTATTTTTCTTCAGAACTAACCGGCTCTCTCATAACATAATGAAGTTATTCAATAACAAAATGACATACAATAATATATCATCAGTTAATACCTCAATGGTGTGGTTTAGAATAAAGATCTTAGAAATAATAAAGATAAGGATCTAAATAGGCAATTATATCTATCAATATAGGTGAACTAGACACATTTATAGTTGAACTATTTCTTTAATTAACTCGTCGAGTACCGGTTTTATAGACACAATTAAAGAACAATAGGTCGCGGTCACCGGTGACCGCTTGGTGTTTGACAGTTTAATTACAACCTATATTCCTTTAGCAATACGGTTGAGTTTCTTTAATTGAAACGGTGAACAGTCTTGCGTTTATGCATGCGTATGAGCTAAGTAGCGCGGTCAGTAAAGGAGGCTGTTAAAACACAAAGTTCCATGACCTCTGTTATCGCGAGACCATTACGAAGTGTACCTCGTTAAGATTACAATTAATTTGTTATGCACCATATGCACTGTACCTGGTACCTGGTAATAAGATCTACAAAAAAAAACCAGAACACGTATTAATTAGTCAGTATGTATGATCATTATGTAATAAGCACATAATTAAGTACTCCCAACATCTTATAACTTGGACAATAATAATTAGAATAAATGACATGAAAAAGGAGTATTAGGTATACGTAAATCGCGAACAACGGTTTTTCTAGCCCGTATTTAACTATTACATTGTAATTTCCCCACATTAAAATAGGTATACGGGAACAAAGGACATAAAACATTGAAAATAAAAAGTATACATCAATAACCACATAAATGTAGGAAAAAACTTCGTAGTTACAACTAGTCTGTTTCATGATTACCTCATTGGCAATTTGGTCCCAACTGCGACAATCTAAGGTCTCGAATTACACGTAAATACGACAGCTTTCCAATTTGATACGATCTGAACCAGATTCCGATATTTTATAACAAATACTTATTTTTTAATTTTTAGCCGTGATCGTCCCACTGCAATACCCACTCCTTACACTCCTTACTCCTTACACTCGTCTCTGTGTAACGCTTGCTGCGGCCAATCGTTGCCGTAATAACAAATATATTTAACAAAAATAAATTACTCTTATTGTTGTATGTAATTAGACACATAGAGGGATGTTAAATTAATAAATATTTTTTTATTTTATATTAAAAACAAACACCGAGTGCCTCGTTGGCTGAGTGGTCGCAAGTGCGACTGCCGGGAAACTGATCTAGGGTTCGCATGTGTCTTTTCACGACACACAACAGAAGCTTTTTGTGTCTGGAGATTACTGGGTGGAGAGTGTTATGCGCAACTTTGCTTTTAACCAGGTGGACAAAGTGAGCACTATTACAACAAATATAACTTTATTTATACTTTAACTGATTATTACAAGGTTGAGCTTGTAAACCATTAGCAATATTGTAGTACAATTGATTGTTATATAAACAAAAATATTAATACACGCAACAACATTATTGCGACTACTGCGAGTATTTATGATTACTAAACGATTGACGATTGAAACAAGAAATCTTTTACCGTGCTTTGTAATATTTGTAGTATTAATATCAAGGTTTATAACAAAGGTACTATAGCAAAAATGCGTTGTGAAAACTAGGTAGGTGTGGAGCAGAATATTTACCATGGTTAAAAACTTTTATGCAGAATAATCATATGGAGGTGATCTAGTATTTTGTATTCCGTGGGGATACTGAAATACTAGATCGTTCATTAATTTCGTAATTTATATAACTTTTTTTAAGGGGGGGATAATCATCGAATGACAGCTCCCGCCTGGGTGAGGCGGGAGGGAGTGTCAGACTCTTACTGACTAAAAACCACCCCGTTCCTTCTCCTGCACGTCGAGCAGGAGCCCCGGTTACCCGTTAGGTTCTCCGCGACGACTTTATATAACTAACTTTCGAATGAGGGAACAAAGAGTGCACCTGTGTTTGCGTACACACTTGTGCACTATAATATCTCCTGCATAGTGGGCTAGTCTAGTTATAGACTTCGCACCATGATCGAAATCTGATGACAGAGCTCACTTACGTGTTTTTTTTTTATGGCATAAGCCGGTAAACGAGCAGACGGATCACCTGATGGTAAGCAATCGGCGTCGCCCATAGACAACTGAAACACCAGAGGCGTTACAAGTGCGTTACCGACCTTTTGGGGATTAGGAGTTTGAGGATCGTTGGGGATTCAGGGATTGGGGAGATTGGGGAAGGGGAGGGTAATTGGGCCACCGGCAACCTCACTCACACGACGACGCGACACAACGCAAGCGTTGCTTCACGTCGGTTATCTCAGAGGCCGTGGTGTCACTCCGGTCGAGCAGGCCCATTCGTGCCGAAGCATGGCCTCTCACACACTTAGACGCATATCCGTATGTCGCATATCCGTGTTACAAAAACTTAGTAATAAGGATATGCATAATAATATATTACCAATGTATTTACCTATGACCGACCCATGAGCCATCAGATCAATGATTCACTGTTCCTGGTTTGAGTTAGTCACCAATCCGTTGTTATATTGTGTAAGTGCATACAATTTAGCTTTAGTAATGCCTAAATGCTAACACTAAACACTAGTTGGAACACCCCTGTTTAATTTCCAATATGGTCGTACTCAAGTAGAAAAAATTCAAATGAATTTTCT